CAATGTATTGATGCTCTCTTGCCATTTTTGGTCAATAATTTAGTTCCAGTATTTTTTTCTTAGAGACAGTGGAAGAATTATTGAATTATTATTTCAGGTAAATTGTCTTCCTGCCATGTGATTTGTTTAAATATTTCTAGAATTAGTACATGATTGATTTTGTATATAGAAGTCTCATTCTGACAAGACGGAGAGATGAGACTACCTTCCTACAAACTGCCACAGCCAACTTACTACAGCCAAGTTGCTGTGGCCAACTCGCCATGGCCAACCCACCACAGGGCAAGTCACCACGGCCAACTCACTGCGGAAGAACGTACCGTGGGACCATTCAACAATTCGATTGAATTATTTAAAATAATTTAAAAAATATTTTAATGTTGTCATTCACATTTCATCTTGTCCCTCCTTTAGCATCCTTTCCTTAATTATCCCATTCCACCATTTCTTCAATATTAGTGTAACTCTTGTCCTGTGGCAAGTTGTCCTGCACAGTGAGTTGGCCGTGGTGAGTTGGCCACAGCAAGTTATCCTAGACCAGTGTTGGCGAACCTTTTTTGGCACCGAGTGCTGAAGCAGGAGTGTGTGCGCATGGGGAGTACCGGAAACCGGAAGAGCAGCTCCCCAGCACACATGCATGCCTTGGGAAACTGAGATTCCGGTTTCTGGCATGCACGTACACACGAAAGACCAGCTGTGCACCGGAAACCGGAAGAGCAGTGGGAAATGATTGGCATGCCTGGAGAGATGGCTCTGCGTGCCACTTCCGGCATGCGTGTCATAGATTCGCCATCACGGTCCTAGACCCAGTTCAAGTTGGAGAGAGATGAACTACAAAAAGATCTTGTCCCTAATGGTAGACCCTTCTGAAGGACTATATGGCATATAAATATTGTTGAAATTGTTATTTAGAATAGCAATGCTATCTGGATGATAAACACTGGATGATACAGTGTTTAAAATGAATGCGATAGCAGCTTATATCCTCTGATTCCCCCCCCCCCCAATTTTTATCTGTTGTTTGTAACTTTGTGTTTGTCTTGGATTTGATTTAACACGTCTTAGAAAGTGATGAATACTATCTTCAAATATCTAAATGCTTCCTGCAGTATTTAATGATTCTGGGCCACGTATCGAGATCAGTTCAATTATTATCCGATATCACTTTACATTTTATGTCTTGTATCTTTTCTAGATATGACCCTGAACACATTTGCAATGGATCTGATAACTCAGGACGATATGCTTATAATAAGCAACCAGAGATTTGTAAGTGGAATCTAACCAAGTTTGCTGAAGCTTTAGTCCCAGAACTTCCACTAGAAACCAGCATGCCCATTCTGGAGGAGGAATACGATGCCGAATTTGAAAAGCATTATTTGCAAATCATGAGAAGGAAACTAGGTTTAATTCAGCTTCAGATAGATGAAGATCATAAACTGGTCTTGGAACTCTTGGAGACTATGCACATCACAGGTGAGTACGAATCATTTTAAGAACACTAAAAAAAAGAAAATCAATTTGAACATTTGGATAATGATGATATATTAAAATATTACAAGTGTAAAAATACTTGGAACTCAGTTATAGAAAGTTGAAAGAAAAAGAGGAGACTTTCTTATATGGCTGAAATTAACATTCTTGTTTAATCTGCTCTGTAGGTGCAGATTTTACAAATACTTTCCGCTTGTTGAACTCATTTCCTGTGGAATTTGATCCTTTAAACCTAGAAGAGTTTCTGGATCAGATCTCAAAACAATGTGCGTCACTGGAGGAATTGAAAGTTGCCTATAAGCCTCAGATGGATCCCAGGTATATTGAGCCATGAGACTGTGCTGTGAGCGTAACGATGCTGTGTCAGTTTTTGTGTGAGAGAATAATTGATGACAAATTAAATTGTATATATTAAAATATAGCTATGGAATAGTTAAATATGTAGATTGACTGCTAAAGTTCAACATTGCTGTTACAGTGTTCTTATACCTTTGGCCAGGGGGCTGAAATAACATTTTCTTCTATATTGAAATTAAACAGGAGATGTTTAAGCTATTAGCTGCTAGAAGCAATTATGAGTTGAAATGAGCAGATACTGTGGTTTGCCTTCTAACCACCCATCTTATAAAAATAAGGCTCAACTTACTTAATTAAATGGTAATTTAATTAGTTAAATTTAAACTGGGTTAAATGACATATTTAACTCCAAGGATTCTTGGACCTAAAAATTACACATTTATAATATTGCAAATTATAAAATATTATAAGATTACAAATTTATAATGAAACATGTCCTTTCGTAAGCATGTGCAAGGATGTGGTGGAGCAGCTCTGGCACTAGATCTCCATTTTTGTTACACAGGTCTGGATTAAGAAATTGCTGTAAGTAAAATACCAATAGAGAAGGGAAAATAAAAAGATGAATTAGACAACTAATTCAGAGACCCTCCAAAACATTATCTTTCCAGAGATCCCTCCAGCTCCCCTCCAGCGGTATTTTGGAAGTTGTTGAAAGCTGATGGTTCTGATCCTTTTGATGTGTTCGGCATGCTTTTTCTGGCTATACAGGTGAAACTCGAAAAAATTAGAATATCGTGCAAAAGTTCATTTATTTCAGTAATGCAACTTAAAAGGTGAACTTAATATATGAGATAGACTCATTACATGCAAAGCAAGATAGTTCAAGCCGTGATTTGTCATAATGGAGATGATTATGGCTTACAGCTCATGAAAACCCCAAATCCACAATCTCAGAAAATTAGAATATTGTGAAAAGGTTCAATATTCTAGGCTCAAAGCGTCCCACTCTAATCAGCTAATTAAGCCATAACACCTGCAAAGGGTTCCTGAGCCTTTAAATGGTCTCTCAGTCTGGTTCAGTAGGAATCGCAATCATGGGAAAGACTGCTGACCTGACAGTTGTGCAGAAAACCATCATTGACACTCTCCATAAGGAGGGAAAACCTCAAAAGGTAATTTGCAAAAGAAGTTGGATGTTCCCAAAGTGCTGCATCAAAGCACATTAATAGGAAGTTATGTGGAAGGGAAAAGTGTGGAAGAAAAAGGTGCACAAGCAGCAGGGATGACCGCAGCCTGGAGTGGATTGTCAGCAAAAGGCCATTCAAAAGTGTTGGGGACTTTCACAAGGAGTGGACTGAGGCTGGAGTCAATGCATCAAGAGCCACCACACACAGACGGATCCTGGACATGGGCTTCAAATGTTGTATTCTTCTTGTCAAGCTGCTCCTGAACAACAAACAACGTCAGAAGCATCTTACCTGGGCTAAAGAAAAATTGAACTGGTCTGCTGCTCAGTGGTCCAAAGTCCTCTTTTCTGATGAGAGCAACTTTTGCATCTCATTTGGAAACCAAGGACCCAGAGTCTGGAGGAAGAATGGAGAGGCACACACTGCAAGATGCTTGAAGTCCAGTGTGAAGTTTCCACAGTCTGTGTTGTCATCTGCTGGTGTTGCTCCACTGTGCTTCATTAAGTCCAGGGTCAATGCAGCCATCTACCAGGAGATTTTGGAGCCCTTCATGCTTCCTTCCGCAGACGAGCTTTATGGGGATGCTGACTTCATTTTCCAGCAGGACTTGGCACCTGCCCACACTGCCAAAAGCACCAAAACTGGTTCCATGACTGTGGGATTACTGTGCTTGATTGGCCAGCAAACTCGCCTGACCTGAACCCCATAGAGAATCTATGGGGCATTGCCAAGAGAAAGATGAGAGACATGAGACCGAACAATGCAGAAGAGCTGAAGGCCGCTATTGAAGCATCCTGGTCTTCCGTAACACCTCAGCAGTGCCACAGGCTGATAGCTTCCATGCCATGCCGCATTGAGGCAGTAATTGCTGCAAAAGGGGCCCAAACCAAGTCCTGAGTACATATGCTTATACTTTTCAGAGGTCCGATATTGTTCTATGTACAATCCTTGTTTTATTGATTGCATGTAATATTCTAATTTTCTGAGATTGTGGATTTGGGGTTTTCATGAGCTGTAAGCCATAATCATCTCAATTATGACACATCACGGCTTGAACTATCTTGCTTTGCATGTAATGAGTCTATCTCATATATTAGTTTCACCTTTTAAGTTGCATTACTGAAATCAATGAACTTTTGCACGATATTCTAATTTTTCGAGTTTTACCTGTATATGACCTTTTTTTCCCTTAATTGTAAATTGTTCTTCACTTTTTAAAGTGTAAGTTACCTGGAGTAATTGGGAACTGGGCAGCCTGTAAATTTCACCCCACCCCCCTTTCTGGCTGGAATATACATGTAGTTCAAGGAGAGAAGGGAATAGAATAATCAGTACAAGGAAGGATAGCAAGCAAAGGGTGCTTTGTGGTTCCATTCATAATGTATTTTAAGGATCTTTGGGGCGGGGGGAGCTTGAAATGACACAGCCTGTTATGTTATAGAGTTAAAAGCGCAGGTGATTTATGAAAAGCTAAGTCTGCCCACTTTTAAACATGCCTTTAAAACAGTATTTTTTCAAACTTGTTGATTTTAACACCTCTGGATTTCAACTTCTGGATTTCAACCTCTGGATTTCAACTTCTAGTTTTCCTCAGACAGCATTCTGTCTGGGGAATTCTGGGATTTAAGTTCACACGTCTTAGTTATCAAGTTTGACAAACACAGCTTTAGAAGGATAAGAAAGAACTCTTGACAAGTATAATGCCTAATAACAGGTTATTATATGAAATTGATTTAAGTGTTTTTTCCTAGACAACTTTCCATGATGCTGATGTTAGCACAGTCTAACCCACAACTCTTTGCCTTATTTGGAACAAAATCTAATATCAATAAGGAATTGGAACGAATAGAACAGTTCTCTAAGCTGCAGCAATTAACAGCTTCCGATTTAGTCAATAGAAATAAAAAAACCTGGACAAATTGGCTGCAGAAGTACAGGTGAGGTTATTTACATCCTTTTTGCTTTAGTGCCTTTTTTCCTTTTGTTGAGCTATATTGATAAATCAGCTAATAACAGTTCAATCATTGCCCCGTGAAACGCAGATTAATGTTTGTGTCTAATGCTATTACATAACTTTTAGTTTTTCTTTTGTTAATATTATATATTTACTATGAGATTTATCCTGAATTGCATACTTTTGAAACATATTCAAATTCCTGTCTTTTATTTATCAGTCACTTTTAAATGAATCATTTCAGATATTTGACAAACTGTGTTGATCCAGGCCCTCACTTTTATTCTGTTTTCAGACTTAGGCTAGAAAAGGAAATGGAACACATTAGCAATACTGACACGTGGAATGATGAGCGTCTGAAAATTATGAATGCCAGCAATCCAAAATATATATTGAGGAACTACATTGCTCAAAGGGCTATTGAAGCAGCAGAAAATGGTGACTTTCTAGAGGTGAGCAGTTTTCCCCATATTTATAGGTTATTTTCTTTGCCCACACACTTCACTGCAGGAATTCTGGGTGATATATCAGGGGTTAAAACCAAAGCAACAATAACATTGAACAACCACTAATCCCCATCACCCAAGTTCAGGGTCAAGAAAAACCATTGTAGATTTTCCACAAAAAGGAATAAAACCCATCAAAATTCTTGTGAGGCGTGCAGGAGTGGGGTGGGGGGCTGTAGATCCAAAGGACACTCATTAAGGACATTCCTGTGCTGGTGTCTTGTTTTCCTTTCCTTTCTCTACAGGTGAGACGAGTCTTGAAAGTCCTAGAAAGGCCATATGAGGATTCAGAAGGCTTCCTGGAGGTCTCTGAGGAGAGGGAGGAGGAAGAAAGTGGGATGGCAGCTGCTTCTGCTGTTGCTACCTGCAGCTCAGGAACCCAGGAAAGAATTCCATATGGCAGCAAGCCTCCACTTTGGGCCTCTGAGCTCTGTGTGACCTGATCTTCGTAACCGCCTTGCCAAAGTTTTCCACACAAGAGTTTGCGAAGCCTCAGGAGTGGAAAGAGTAGCAAGGTGCTGTAGAAGTGCTATTAAGTCTGAACAGACCATTTGGATGTTTTCCTGTCTCACCTGAGCCACCTTTATTTTATCAGTTGTGACAATGATCCGGGTACCCACTTCATATCATAGATCGGGTAACTTAGCAGGTTGAAGTTTTATCTTCTTTGTTGAGCAGGAAATGTTATTATATTTTTATGCATACTGGCTGGTGAACATCCAAATGAAATCTGTGTTTTTGAAGACAAAAATATAAAACCAGATGCTGGATGTATTTTTGTCTGAAAACGAACTACCTAGTACTTCAGAGCTATGTTTTTAATTTTAAGATTTTAATTTTAAGAATAGACTCTCCTGCTCGAGCAGGGGATTGGACTAGATGACCTCCAAGGTCCCTTCCAACTCTGTTATTCTATGATTCTCATTTTTACTTATGCAGGGATATTTTGATTCTTTCATTGAGAAGTGAGTTGCTTTTATTTTGAAGATGTGTTTCACTTAAGCAGATTGTTCATTTATTGGGAACCTCTGTGTCTTGATCATGAAAATATTACCTCAGAGCTTTAGGGAATTAGTAAAACTGCACACTGTAAAAAAGCAAATAGATAAAATTCAGACAAATATTTTCAACACCTACTTTACAATGGAGTTGAGGACAATCTATTTCCACATATATATTCAGAAACCCAAGTCACTGTCTCCACTTCCTTGTGAATTAGGAACCATGCAGCAAATTATGCTTTTGTTTTTGGTTCAAGGCTGTATCCAACTTTCTGGGTTTCTGCATGCAGTTCAATGAATGAGGAATACTTAACACTTTACTCCCCCAAAATAGATTTTCAAACTTAATGGCACCAATTTCTTGTTGAATAGATGAACAAACTGAATTTAGCTTTGTTACTCCTTAAGGGTAACTAAGGTCCTTAAGGAGTGATTCATTAGCCCTCTAACTTAAGGAATATAGCCACAGAGTGACATCTTTAAACTATATTGCTGTAGTAAATAAAAATATAAATGACTGATTTTGAACAAGCCTTCCGCATTCCAATGTTGCATTTTATATAGGTTGTGTGTTTTTTGTGTTTCAAATTTGCTACCTCAGGAGAGTCTTCCATTTTTCCACCTTTTGCTATCTCGGGTTTACTGCCCGCTTATATTTTGATTACATTTGACTATAGCATTTAGCATATATTTCATATATTTCAGTTAAAGATTGTTCAATAAAGTAACTGGATGAAAATATATCATCTCTAACTGAAGAATATATGTTTCAAAAGGGTGGGTGGCCATGGCTACAGTTAGAAGACATTTTGTCGTGTTTTCATTGATTGGTGCTGGGATGTGATGAAACATCAAAGCTATGCTCTTGTTGCATTAATCATGAATTCTTGCTTCTGTGGATAAGGTTGACAAACAGCAGATAAATTCTGAAAAATCAAAAATCTAGACTACAGGTGGTCCTTGAGTTACAACCATAATGGAGCCTGCCTATCATGGTTGTAAGTTGTGATGGTTGTAAAATGGGTCAGTCACAGGATCCAGCCTTATTTTACAGTTTTTTCTGCTGCAGTCATTAAGCAAACACCATAGTTGGTAAGCAGATGCCAAGTTGGTTAAGCAAACCCATTGTTCATTATGGCATTATAGCCAGAAATGCCAGTTTTGGGCAAAACTCTCATAAAATCTAGTCAACTGACTGCAGGATTCTGCAAGCAGCTGTAAATGCACCAGTGTTATCAAGTGCTCAAATGTGAGGTCATACAACAGCAAGGTTGGGGCAACTGTCAGAACTTCAGATCCAGATTGTAAGTCTCCTTTTGTGGATCCATCTTTGAATAGTCACTAACCAACTGGTCTAAGTAAAGGACCACCTGTATTAAGATATTAATAAGACTGTAAGTCATACTATGATTATTAATAGGTCACTAAGTTACACTATTAAAAGGTCTTATGTTTCTAAGTCTTTGGGGTACTTGTTTAAATAAAACAAAATAGGACAAATGTGAATAAAATTAAGTAATTGTATTGGCTCTAGGTTTCAGGGTTTTTGGCAAGGTAATAAAAATACACCACATGAATGTTGTTACCATAATTTAAGTATTTTAAATGAGTGCTATGATTTTCATCCGTGCATAAAATCTGCAAGCTGTCGACATGAGCTATATTAATTGAAAATAAATGAATTTGATCATGTTTATAGCAAATGTCTCTTTATTTTTTAGGATAAAATTAGACGAAATAAATGTTTGAAATGATGTGCCACCAATATCTAGTTTTTGGATGGCACTGCAGTTAAGTTGATCCTATGTTGAAGGGTCTGAATGGATGGAATTAATCTTATTTCCCAAGTAAAGAGGTTGCTGTTAGGATTCTTTGAAGACACGTAAATATGGCAGTAAATGTGAAATGCTGCTGCAGATCATGATTTGGGAAGCCTGCTAAGAGATGGGTTTTACTGGTTATTGGAGCTCCATTGCTCTGGGCAGAATTGGAAATGTTGGCCAAGAATTCTGATTGGTAAAGTCTGCCCATCTTAAAAGTGGTTGAGGTTGAAAAATACTGCCCTGTAGATCATCATCAATAACCTAGTCACCTTCTGTTATTTACCCATTACTCCGTAGAGGAGAGAACAAGGAGAAATATTTAAAAGATGAGGGAAGAACACGTGGTTTAGAAAAAAGGTACTGCAGTAACTATAATATGGTTTTCTGATGACTATTTTCTCTTTATTAAAGAGCCCCATAATAGTGTACAAAATCTCAAATTTCTCAAGGTTGTGCAAAGTCAGTCAACTCCTTGTGGTTTTGCCAACACATCCAAGGCAACAATACGGAAGTGATTTATCATTGCTTTCTTCTGGTTTTGTTCTGGCTTTTGATTTTCCATTCTACTCTATAGGCCTGACCTTTCGTAATGACCTGTCTTCCAAGTATGATTCTGCTTAGTGTGAAAGTCAGACAATTGCTGCCATTTTCTAAGTTCACACTTTTGATCTGTCCATTTTAATTTGAGCAAAAATTCATGTTGCCAAGCTGATCCTCCGCCCAAACAATTTATTAGAAACACTCTTATGGTCCAGCAAAATACTGTGGAGATAATATATTTAGATTTCAGCAAGGCATTCAACAAAGTAGACCACAACCTACTTTTAGTAAGCTAGAAAAACGTGGAATAGATAGCACCACCACTAGATGGATTCGCAACTGGCTGGCAAACCGTACTCAACGAGTAGTCCTTAATGGGTCTAAGACTACATGGAGGAAGTAAGCAGTGGGGTGCCACAAGGTTCCGTCTTAGGCCCAGTACTCTTCAATATCTTCATTAATGACTTAGATGAGGGAATAGAAGGGGAACTTATCAAATTTGCAGATGATACTAAGCTGGCAGGAATAGCTAACACCCAAGAAGATAGGCTCAAGATCCAGATGGATCTTGACAGACTAGAACACTGGGCCGTATCTAACAAAATGAAATTCAATATAGAGAAAAGAAGTCCTACAGTGAGACAAGAAAAACCAAAAGTACACATATAGACTGGGTGAAACCAGGCACAATAGCAGTAACTGTGAGAGGGATCTTGGAGTCTTAGTGGACAACCAGCTAAATATGAGCCAGCAGTGTGCAGCAGCAGCCAAAAAAGCCAATGCAATCCTAAATTGTATTAACAGAGGGATACAATCAAGATCAAGGGAAGTACTAATACCACTCTATAAAGCCTTAGTAAGACCACACCTAGAGTACTGCATCCAGTTTTGGTCACCACATTATAAAAAAGATGTTGAGACTCTAAAAAAAGTAGAGAAGAGCAACCAGGATGATTAGGGGATTGGAGGCTAAAACATACAACGAACAGTTGCAGGAACTGGGCTTGGCTAGTCTAGTAAAGAGAAGGACCAGGCGAGACATGATAGCGGTCTTCCAATATTTGAGGGGCTGCCACAGGGAGGAAGGGGTCAAGCTATTTCCTGAAGCGCCTGTAGGCCAGACAAGGAATAATGGATGGAAACTGAACAAGGAGAGATTTAACCTGGAAATAAGGAGAAACTTTCTGACAGTGAGAACAATCAACCAATGGAACAGAAGTTGCCCTCGGAAGTTGTGGAAGTGTCATCACTTGAGACTTTCAAGAAGACATTGGACTGCCATTTGTCAGAAATGGTGTAGGGTCTCCCACTTGGGCGGGGGGTTGGACTAGATGACCTACAAAGTCCCTTCCAACTCTGATTATCTGTTATCTATTATTACCTAATATAATTTGTTCATGAAAATACCAACCATAAATGTGACAATCTTGGAAGAGCTGAGGTGCTACTTACCATCTATCAGATTTCTATTAGATCTTGCACAATGCATTTCACTCTATTACTCTGAGCTCCAAAGTTTATAAATTATGATTGTAAAAATGTACGTTTTTGAGAAATGTAGAATTGGATTTTCTGTTATCACAGATTTAGAATAGAACACTTCATTACAATTGTATATGCATAATTTATTAGGTGTTACTATTCCAGTCATCATGTCCACCGAAAACAAGAACTAGATTTAGTGTAGTCCAATATATTAAAGAGATGGCGAACATTAATTTGTTGCATTGGTTTGGCTTATTTTGGGCAGTTAATTTAGTACCAAAATAAACAGTAATGATCCAGTAGTCACATGGATAAAAAAGATACATTTTATCTTAGTTATTATATCCTAATTCCAAATCTCCAACTCTAAAAAACGTTTGCATTATGTTTTAGCAATCAGGGAACAGAGATTCAGTTCCCTATTTATTTTTGTTTTGATGTTGCATTAATTATGCACATTCATAAAAGTCAAACTTGTGTTGCTACAGATAGCACATTGTTACAAAACAGGGCTTGGGAGATTTTTGTTTTTAGTGTTATCCTAGTAACTGAACTATCTTTGACTTAAAGACATGCTTGCGAGGGAGTAAAGGTGGGATTGTTGTCCACATTTTGGAAAAGCAGGCGCATTTAGGCAGAAATGCATTTAGGCAGAAATACACCCCAGCTCCACTTCCCTTATACATTCATACATTTATTCATAAGCATCCAAGATGGTGATGCAACTGTGATGAGTTGCACCTAGATTTTTTCAAGGATGTGTAGTAGTCCAGAAGCAGCTTCGCCTCACCTAAGCCCTTAGCTTACAAAGCAAATGCTAACACCGAGGTATAGGTTGGGGTATAGGAAAGGTGATAAGCAAACTAGGGAACCAGAGGCTATGTCTAGAGATTGGTAGCTATTATAAGCAGATAAGAGGACTTTCAGTCAACTGCCATGACCATAAACTCGGGTGAGCAGCATATCCTGGTGAGAATCCTGCCTGGATCTTAGAGCTTTGCCTGAGCTTGGAAGCAACTAGAAAAGGAGCAACTACAGTGAAATAAGACAACATCCCAACTAGTGCGAGAATTTTTGGAAAAAGGCGGAAGTTGCCTTTGGAAAGTAAAGAACCCTTACACTGCTTAAACAAGTATTTCTACCTTCTTGGTCCCCATTAACACATTCAAAAATTGTCCTGTAAGAGCACAAAGTAAGCTTGCAAAGAATCTGAATGTAACACAGAACCTACATACTTGAGCGTACAAAGCGCCATGGAATAAGGTAAACTTAAAAGTTTTGGTATATGCCAGTCAAATTGTCAAGGACTAAAGCAATATACACACTTTTGCATCCAGCACTACTCTACCACCTCTCTTCTATCCCGCACAGTTCCTTCCTCCCTCCCATTGCAAAACAACAAATAGTAAAATTTATATGCTTGCCCAAATCCCAATGACCCTGGATGTATTCTGGTGTGCCTTGATGCTAAATTAAAAAAAAATAACAAAGGATACAATAAGAACACTGAGGAAAATGTGAGGAGTGTAGGAGCTAAATTGGGAAATGATTAATTAGATCTATTAAAAAATCTTCACAGCACCTATAATCATAGGCCATTATAGCATAATTAAACAAACAGATTCTGGACTGTATACATATTAAATTTATCCACAAAGAGGTAATTGTCAGGAAGGTTTGTTTTTTTTACTCTCAACATCTGCATATTGATTACAAAATAATAAATTTATGCCTTGCTCTTTATTACACATTTACATGAGAAGCGTTTACAATGCTAAAGGAAGAATTTACACATTGACAAATTTACATCTATGCACGCTTTGATATATCACACCAACATGGGAAACATGCTTCCATGAGAAGACAGTATGAACCGGTGCCATGCTATGGGAGGAAAATGGAGCATCCTGCTGTGTCAGTAGAGCCATTCTACTCTGTCACTGTTTTAAGTGGAAAAGTTTCCGAGGTCAGCAGCTTTCCAATGGCCTGGGTTCCTTGTAATACCCGGAGCAGTTAGTCTATTTTAAAAGCTCAATTATCTTTGTAATAGTTGTTGAAGTTAATTCTTAGTAAGAAATCTTCCAGGTGAGGCTGGTATCCTCTGTTGATAAGCTTTGTTACTACTGCAGGGAAAGGGGAGAGAAAGAGGGAAAACTTAGAAAAGTCAATCTATCAATTGAATCTGCATCTTCACAGTCAGTCTGAAGCAGCTTATGGCAAGAGAAATGTCACTGGGCCTCTTCCAAATGTTCTTATTGGAAAAAGCTAAGTGCCCCTGGAATGAATCCTTGCAATAATGTGCATCAATTGGAAGAGGCCTATCCTCATTATTTCTTCCAGCCGTTTTATTTAATTGCAGAGAACCTTGTCCAGCAGCCTGCCCTCTAAGACTGTTTTAGATATCCTGCATAAAGAGGGATGTTACCAAGTACATTGGTAAGCATGGCAATAATCAGCTGGCTTTCCTTATAACAGTTGTAAACAGTGGGACTCAAATTCTGAAAAAAAAAAGGTAAAGGAAGAAAGGCTCAAAATTAGGGGGTGAAAGTAGGCCTGAAGAAAAAAAAAACACATACTGTGCAAAAAGATGATCCTTAATTTAGAGGCGAAGGGAGGGTGAACCTGCTGCATATCTATCATAAGGAACCAAACAATTACCAAGAGCATTGCTGAAAGAGAAGATTAGTGATGTTGCCATCTGCTTTCCTTTATGCAAACTGTTGCAACTTGAGGGGTTAAGTAGCAAGATAAGGTGGATAGGCCATTGCAGACTGCAGCTGAGGTTGCACCTGATGTCATGGGTTTCACCATCTGGATACTAAACTATGCTTTAATTTAATATGAAATGAAGTGCAAGTTTTTCTTCTACACCTTAAAATACAGAATGTTGTCATGTCCCTGAAGGTTTGCTCTATGAAAACTGATAAATTAACTAGTCTTAATTTCAAAGAGACCGTAATGTACTCTTAAAAAAGATTAGTCAATTATGCTGTGCTTGAGTTTCATTTTGATTTTCAGATTAACCTTAGAGAAAAATTACATGGCAAGTCTTACCGTTGAACAGAAAATGAGAGTAATATTTGAATGTGTTATAGGACTGCTGCATTAATCCAAAATTAGGGTGAACAGCCACATGTTTGCTGCTATCAAAATTCCACGACTGAGAGATTAACTGGCTACGGAACTTTAAAATGAGGCTAAAAATGCTGTGAATTATATTCATCACAGGGGCTGCCTTTTCGGTCAATAATCCCCTGTCAAGAAAAAAAGCAAAGGTATATTTTAAACATACGACAATGTGAAATTAACTGACAGGCAGCAATGCAATCCCTCTAACTTTGTAATAGATTTTAAAACTATGCATCAATAGTGACAAGAACATGCTTTAAGTCTAAAAACAAAGAAAATATTAAAAAGAAACTCAAATTGGTTCACTGCTTCTTAAACATTTTGCTCTCAGAACCCCAACTTTTAAAAATTAGAGAACTCCAAAACAGCTTTTGTATATATTTATCATTTACCATATTCAGAATTAAAACTGATTGATTTGGAGTATTATTGAATGATGTAAAAAAGCATGCTAAACCCATTACCATCCTTTTGTTTATGAAAACCCCCAAATTTTTAACAAATAAAAAAAAATGTAATTTATTTACATTTTGTAAATATCTTCCAATATCTGGAAAATAATTTTGCTTTTGAGAACCAGAGAAGGCCTGGGTGATCCCCACACGTTTTGCTATAACCTTTCTTAATAAACTATAGTTCCAGTCAAACTTGTGTGGATTCTGTTCTGATCCTGGACTGCCTTAAAAGGTTGACATGAATCTTAACTCTTCCCTGCTCTTCATAGGGCCATTATTACCATAAGCAACCAATTACAAAGAGGATTAGGGAAAGAAACCACATGTGCAAAGGATTCTAACTATATTTATTTGATTTTTATTTATCATTTATTATAAGCCATTTTGGGAGACCTATTATCCTAAAAGGATATAAATTATTGTAATCAATCATCTGACAGGCTCTAAGACTTAAACAAAACAATAATATTAAACTAGTGAACAATTTCTTTTTCTTAAAACTAGTAATGCTGTAGACTATTTACAAAAACTCCCAAGAGAAGCCACAAATGGTTCTGCACTAGGGTGGCTATAGTCCAACTTTAGAACATAGATAGACTGATTTTTTTTTAAACAATCTTAAATGAATTCTTCCTGGTAGTTGAAGTCCTACATAAGATTCTCTTATTCCTGCAATGCCATGCAAGCAACTACTTTCTGTGGTTCATCAATGCACAATGCATCTAGTCTGCTACGTTCTAGTAGCAGTAAACCCAGACCAAGTCATATTCATGATTATCCAACTTTTTACTTTTATGAAACTATTGATCAACATAAGCAGACAAGTTATACAGCTTCCTTACCGGAAGATTGCTTTGTTGAGATATTCTGCATGTGTTCTGTAAATTTCTTCCAAATTCCCCACAGAAGACAATTTATTCCCAAATTCACACCAACTGACATGCAAAATCTGATTGGCAATATAACCTTGAATAACTTTAACAAAATGCTGCATTTCGTGCTTATAAAGCTGCAGTTGTCGAAACTGGACTGAGTTCGATGCATGTTTTACTAATGCTGAAAAACAAAATATTATATTTAATCAACCAATCACAGGGTCCAAAAATAGTTATTTATTTAAAAATGAGAAACAGTATTTTAGAAGCCAAATTTAAAAGAAAAAAAAAGGATAAATATAATTTAAGGTTAATGAATTACTTCTAAAATATAATAATGTTGAATAAAATATTACACGATCAATAGAATAGACTCAAAAAATATTTCAATGGGAAAAAAAAGAAATATTTGGCAGAAGTAATGCAAATCAGTCTTACCAGTTCGCTTTAAGTGGAACCAGACATCTTTAAGAGTCCATACCATATGTTTCAACTGTAGCAGGAAGGAGAATATCTTGTTATATTTATTCATACAGTTTTCAGTAATTACAATATTTAAGGGCCAGTCAACCTAAAAGAAAAATAAAATAATTATCACTGCATTTGCAACATTTTGAGATAAAAGCTTATAAAGCACACAAATATGGATTTATAAATAGTATCAGGAAATATTCAGAATCAATTATTCTAATAAATCATGAGCCATGGTGGCACAGTGGTTAGAATGCAGTACTGCAGGCTACTTCTGCTGACTGCTGGCTGACTGCAATTAGGCAGTTCGAGTCTCACCGGCTCAAGGTTGACTCAGCCTTTCATCCTTCCAAGGTCAGTAAAATGAGGGCCCAGATTGTTGGGGGCAATATGCTGACTTCTGTAAAAACCGCTTAGAGAGGGCTATAAAGCATTATGAAGTGGTATATAAGTCTAAGTGTTATTGCTATTACTAAATCAATCATGGCTTTAGAAGAGCGGCCTGCAACCTTTTGGGCACCGTGGAGAGAAGTTTTTCCACAGACTGGAGGGGGCATGGTTTTGTACGCTGCCTGCATCCCACAGATAGGGCTTCACTTGTTTCTGCGGTCTGGTTTTCCACAGCCTGGTGATGGTCCACGGATCAGGTTGGGGACCCCTGCTTTAGAATACAAGTTGAAAAGTGCCATGGGCATCTTACTTACCTTGTATCGTAGGTCCAAGCAGGTTAGGGCATCAGGAGCATTGGGTTTGAACATGTCCGGAAGGTATTTCAGTGCAAAAGAGAGATTAGAAGCCAAATGACTGTCTCCATGAAGACTGTACTGAAGTGCCTTATTCAAGATGGAATTGAGGACTAGTGGATTCAGAAGTTCACCAGGTGTCTGTCCTGTTCCCAGCTTGAATGAGAAAATAGCATATCAGAGGCTGAGAATTTACTGGGAAGGATATAAGCAGAAATTAAGCATGTTGTTTATTACCAGAAAATTTCCTTGTGCCAGAGTTTCCTATAATGCAAAGAGTGGCTGTTTGCTTTTGACCATCATTGGAAACATGATCAGTGAAATGGCTATTTTCTGACCTATCATTACTTTACATCTTGACAAATAGATATAATTCTATACCTTTTCAAAAAGCAAATCGCTGAGTGATTGAGCAAACTCTCCATCTTCCATTAACAAAAAGTGCCTCAATGCTTCAAAATGTTTCTCAACATTCAATTCCACAAAATAATAATCCACAATGGCTTTGTTCACAAGGGAAACACTAGGAAAAAAAAAGAAATAGATGGTCCAAATTTTAAAATGTAAAATAATTAAAATTCTCTGCTCATTATAAAAGGGAAGAAACAAAACCACGATAAGCTAGACTAAGGTAAAATGGACTCATAAATCAAGTTGTGAAGTATATTAAAAACAATGACCCTTTTGATCCTGTATACAGAATTAATGGTTAGTTTCTAAAAAGAACTTCTTAGAATAGTTCAACATCCTTTGGTTGCTTTTCAAGTAAGGATGTATCATGTATGTTGAAAATAAAAAGTTCCTTTCAAATACACCTTGTTTTTCACCCTAACTCTTCATCATATTTGTATGTAATTCCTTTGGCCTGATGAAGAAAAGACTGATGAGGAAATATGCTATGACATTTATAGATCTAATAAAAGTTATTATATGATATATGATATACATTGTTTCTGCAGTAATTACTAAATTGTCTATGCTACTGACTCAATAAAAGGAGTGGAGATGATAATTTGTTTGTCCTTAACAAAACAATGTGAACAGCAGAACAAAGTACTCTTACATATTGACTAAATAGTTCTACTCCTACTTACTGAGAAACTAAGGGGGTAGTGATGGACCGTTTCATCAGCACTGGAAGTGATAAGAGCTCACTTAGTTGTACAGCTGTTTCATCTGTTGCTGATTGTATTGTGGGGTCCACAGGGAAAGTGTAGGATCTGGGGATCATGTGATGTAAGAGATGGGAAACCGGAAGCTCAGCTGCATTACAGATAAAAAAATTAAGGTGAAACATTATTATTTTTAAAGATTATCAAAAGGTAAAATACAATGAACCAAACAGCCAATATGTAACAACTTGTAGTTTACATTCACCATCTACTTAGTATATAGATAACCACAGGGGTGGGATTCTACCAGTTCGCACCTATTCGCCAGAACCGGTTGTTAACATTCTAAGCAGTTCGGAGAACCGGTTGTTAGAAGAAATTATTGGCCTAATCCTGTAAGGAAGCCAGGAAGGAAACATTCTGGTGTTGCTTACAGAAACTGTGGAGTTTTTTTTCCTCCTTTGCTGGTACTTTGCTTGTGTGGCGTGACCATTCAAAGTTACAATGGCACTGAAAAAAGTGACTTATGACCATTTTTCACACTTATGACTGTTGCAGCATCCCCACAGTCATGAGAGGCCAGGCGAGGAGATGTGTGCCTCAATGTGAGTGATATTGAGTTGGCCACGCCCAGCCAATAACATGACCACCAAGCCACGCCCACCAACTAAGAAAATGCCCACAGAACCGGTTGTTAAAAAATTTGAATCCTACTCCTGGATAACCATAAAGCAATGGAAGTATTTATAAAATGCTGTTCAAAAGTTGAAAACTGAATGGAATCACAAATGACAAAGAGTAGAAGGATTTACATTAAATTAGATTATTAATCATGGGAAGAAAAAAGGTGCACATAAACCTAATTTAGCCCATGCTTTAACCACCAATAAAAACATTTCCTTAGTACATTGTACATGTATATTTGCATAGGAATCCTGGTTAACAATTTCTAGTGCATGAATTATGAAACTCAAGTGACCCATGAAGCTACAAGAATGGAGTTTTGCCATTTCTATCCAACAGAAATATTTTTATTTAGAGTTCAAAATTACTGAGAAAAATAATTAAATCCCCAAAGTTTTACAGTCAAAGGGACAATTTGTGATCTTCCACATGTTGATGAATATATTAGTATGATGTAGTCATAAATAACAGTCAGGTAGAGGCAAAATCAAATTTTCAAGGATTGACCCTTTTCTCTTCCAGATCATCCCCGGACATTAAATCTAAATCAGAAGCAGTTTATAATGTTCCAGACAAAATTTGGGGTGGACTATGTTTGGAGCATTACATGGAGCTTCCAGGGTAGATAATTAACTTCCAGGAAAACATCCAGAATAGGTGTATTTCTCGTAACATTCAGCTCTGCACAACCTTAGTCAGAGATTAAGAGAGTTGAACATTTTTGCAGGCCCTAAAATACTTACAGATCATGCACCGAAGTTTTATGTACTGTAGTGACAGTACAATGAAAAAAGAAGCATGTTAAACCTTGACTTATTACTGAGCCTCTCTTTTCTCGCAGCCTTTAGAATGAAATTAAATTCGAATTTTAAAAAGAATTTTTAAAACTCACTCTCCCTAGGTTAAACAAAGTTAGTGGTCACTAATATAGAACATCTACAGCAAACCTGACCAATCCAATGGCAGCATGCAGTCCTGAACAGTTAGTAACGCAGCCTCACAAGATTGTAAAATTTTAACACTATTGTGTTATTTTCTTTAGCGATACTGTGTTATGTATTTTATATGTGGCCCAAGACAAATTCACTCTTAATTCAATGCAGCTCAGGCAACACAAAATATTTGGATACCTATGATCTAAAGATCATAAACTCCTCACCCTTGAGCTACTGAGTTAAAGGTTAGCAACACTCAAAATTATCTTCTTTAAAAGGCTGTATCATTTCATGCAGTTACACTGTCTTAATGCATCTCGCTTTGAGACTACTCACACATAAATTCATATTGATCCTGATATTTTTCCAGGCAATATTGATTAGATAAGGCTTGCAGGTAATCTGCTTCTTCTTTCTTCCATATAGCAACACTGGTGCTTCCTCCTTCCTGATTTTCAGACACAATGACCTCAGAGACAGTAGTTTGCTGAGTCACAACACTCAATGAGGTTGATTTTTCAGGTTCTTCTACCTGATGAAAAAGAAATGTTGACATTAAAATGTTTTTTTCAACTGATATATTTATGTAATGTTCATTTTTTCTCAATTCTAAAATATTCACATCGATATAAAAATATAATGGAATAAAAACAGAAATTTCTCCAGTTTTCCACTAAAAAGTTAGTGTGTTCCCATATAAACCAACAATTCATTTCAATTAAACCTATTAGCATTAATAGCACCATATGGTCTCTGAATCATTCCTTAAAATGGCTAATTCCCTAGCTAGCTAATTGTAAAAGAACATCCCATTTTAGTGCTAAAAGAGACAGTGGAAGATAATTAATATTCTCACTTCCCTTTCTTTCTGTTGGTTGACTGCTCCTTATGGAGACAACAGACTCCATTGCTATACACCAGGGGTGTCCAACC